GGTAAGAATATTCCCTCCAGATACTGGGAAGGCCTTCTAATAGACACCATCCACCACTGCATGATCAAATATACCTACAGCCAATGTACAGAAGGAACAGTTCAGAGTATAGATGCAATAAACGGGGCTTTTTAGTGTTTGTATTCTTTATAAATGGCATATAAGAGTGCATTTTCCACCAAACTCCACAGATTTAAAGGCTTGGTTGGGGAAGGCTGTACATGACAGTACTGTTGAGGACTGAGACTGTCTTGACTCTTTGAAAGGGCTTCACAGCTTTGCTCTCACTTATGACAGAGACAGAAAATAGAAAGCAGAAAATAATTGAAAAGTGCTAATATTCATATATATTATAATATATATATACATAAACACGTGTGTGTACTTATATACATACATAGTTTTCACACATATGTACATGTATACTGGCAGGCTGGAACGCACCACTTCCCCTCTGGCAGGATGGGCTTTGTGAACAGGCATAACTGAAGTTTACTAGAGATATTCTAAGAATAGGAAGGCACTCCAGACAGAGGGACAGAGAGCTTGTGAGCCACATTAGTAGATATAATCTTAAGAAGTTAGAGGAAGAAGTCAGTGGGCCACGGGACCCATCATAACCCTTGCTACCCACCTGACCTCCTCATGTTCACAAGGGAAAGAACCCCGTCAGACAATGGGGTTCGTGGCACTGCAGACAGAACAGCTTTCCTGGTTCCTCCACAGAGCAAAGTCACATTCACTGTCCCTGACAGCCAAAGCAAAGTGAGGCTCTGTTCCCTCTCTACCAGCCTGTGTCCCCGACAACCTCTGAGGTTGGTAGGGGAAGACAAAAAGCTATTTCTATACAAGGACTACTTTTTAAAAATGTGTTAGGCTGTCCCATAAAACCTTGGGTGCAGCGGTGGTGGGCAGAACCCCAGGTGCATTCTGAGGCTGCATGTCTAGAACTCCCAGGCTGGCCTTTGCAGCACAGACTGGGAACAGCACTCCCTGTTCTCTGGGCCATGTACCCCAACATCGACACTTTCCAGCTGGTGACTCCTTGCTCTGAAAAATCCACAGCCCAGATGTGTGTTCTTCAGAAGCCTTTTCTGCTCTTTTCTCCTTTACTTGGGGTGAAGGGTGAGTTGCTCTTAGACTCTAGGAAAGGCTTGCCTCTTTTCTCCCTCTATGGTTTGAGCAAGTGTCAGGCAATGGACCATCCCTCCTCCAGAGCAGGTGAGAGGCTGAGAGACTGGCCTGAGGAGTCTTCAAGGGTCCTTCCACTGACCCTGAAGCCCTCTCTTCTCTGACATGTCAAACACTAATGCAGACAGACTTTCAACTATGGTGACTCCTTGAGCCCCAGGGAGCACCTCCGTTCAGAACTTGGAGCACTCTTCCACAGGCTGCTGCCCTCGGGGAACTGCTGATGTGTTCTCCAGGGCTTTTCTGTGCCTGCCTTCTTGAAGACGGCAGGGCAGGCCCAATATCTGTAGATTTTTACAGGTTTTATGACTTCTCTGCCTCCCTGGGAGTTGAGCTCATTGGCGGCATTAGCAAGCAGCGCAGAAACAGCTCACCCTAACCCTTCCCCATGCAATGAACAAAGTCTCCATTCAATATTTTAAAATTTTCCAAGGGGAAAAATGCTTGAAGCAGCTTTGCTCATAAATTCAACTTGATTTTCCCCCATCCTTCCATTCTTGCAACTGGCATCTCCCTTTGGCACTGTTGTAAGTATTTGATCAGAATTGCCAATACATGCTACCAAGCTGCTCCACTGACAGCACACCCCTCCCATCCAGCGGCCCCTCTCTCCTTCCCTTCAGGACTTACTCTCCAAAGGAGCCCATCACAAACCCATTAGATGCCAACAAACAGCATACAATGGTACCCAGGTCATTTATGCCTTTCTCCAATATGCCTCCATCTCCTCACTATAAAACAAGATTAAGCCAGATCAATCTTTAATACCCTTTTAGCCCTGTAATTCTGTGAATTTGAAACTTACTCAGAAAAGCACATGGGCTGGGAAGATGGCTTAGCGGGTCAAGTGTTGGCCACACAAGCATGTGGACCTGAGTTTGGATCCCCAGAACCTAGGCAAAAATTGGGCCCAGTGGGCATGCCCCTGCAGTCCCAGTGCTGAGGTGTACTAGAGGGCAGAGACATGGATCTCTGGAGCTCACTGCCGGCCAGTCTAGCCAAACCAGCCAACTGTCCAAGGCAGTTATATATCCAGAATGCTTTCCCCATGCTGGTGCGGTTCAGTGTGACCATCTTGTGACTTTCTAAGACTTCAGCAGACTTGTACAACCACCACCATAAACACAAAGGGATGATACTATACATGCCCTGGCTGCAGAAAGCCCTAGTCATGTGTCTCTGAGCTCCAAAGAGCAGAGGTAGACATTCTTGGAAGAGTATACACAATCTGCTGTGAATCAGACAGGCAGGACTAGCTGAGTCCTTATATCTTTTTATATCTCATGAACCGTTTTTCTTTCTTATATTGAAAAAAGTCCCCTCTTAACATCACCTCTAAGAATGTGGAGCCCCATGCTGTGAGCAATACCACAAATTATAGAGTCTCACAACCCCAAACATGATCACAGAATTGGCCTGCAGACCCTACAGGAAGTGGTTAAAACATACAAAAGCCCCACCTCCCTCACCACCTTCCTCCTACTTCTCTGGCTGCTACTTCTTGGTCTCTCTCCCTGGCTTTCCTCTCACCAATGGGCTAGAGTTCCTTAGAGCTCTGTCCTAGGATCTAAGTCCTTTTAATCTCACTCGGCATCCTCTTTCTAGGCCACAGGATCAATTCCTTGGACTTAACAAAACCATGAAATCTATATCTTCAGGGCACACACACTTCAGACCTTCACACTTGGTGTCCACACAACTCTCTGCTCAGGGTCAGACTGCTCAAGCTCAACACACCCAAACTGAAGCCATGATCTGTTCCCTTTGTACTCTCTCAAATGCATGTTCTTCCTCCAGTGTCTCCATGGCCCTATAGTGGGACCTCCATCCATCCAAGTATCTGGGTCAGAAACCTGAGACTCATTCTCAATATCTCCATCTCCCTGACCTCATAAAGACAAAGGACTACCTATTTGGTTCCCAAATAATTCTTGAATGTGTCCCTTCTGCCTATCTCCATTGCTTCCAACTCATCAAATGACCGTCTCAGGGCTCTAGAGAGCAGGTGCTTCTCCAGCCTTTGATGCCTTCTTCCCATGTTCCAGCAGGACACTGGCCCACTCTCACCCAACGCATCTCCTAAGAGGAGGCCAGAGCAACCTGTATGACATACTTTGTAGTGTTACATCACTTGCTTAAAACTTTCCCTGGGCTTCCATTGCTTCTGAGATTGTATTCCAAATCCTTACCAAGACGCCTGATGCTCATCTTTCTCCAGCTCTCACAGATCAAGTTCCTTCCTACATCTTGGCCTCTCCACCTGCTATTTCCCCTGATCTGAAACAATTCCTTCAACAGCCCCATAGATCTCAACACACACACACACACACACACACACACACACACACACACACACACACACACACTCCCTTTTGGCTGTTTCCTGCCCACTGTTGAAGCTCAGTTTAAATTCCATTTCATCAAGGAAGTCTTCCATGATTCACCTGTGTTATTTAAGATACCTATTCAGTATACAAGTGTCCCATTTTAATCAGTGACTTTTTAATGTCCACTTTTGTGGGAAGTGGATTAAATCTTGAGTGAATGTGTATATTGTTGACATGAGCATGGTCATGTCAAAAACCTTAATGCCTCGGGCCCATGAAAAGGGCAACACTTTCTCTGGGTGAGGCCCAGAAGCATGGCAAAGCCTTTTCTCTGGTCCAAGTATGCACAAAAGACTGAACAGTATATACAAAAGCTAGCAACCACAGGTTCCTCCTCCAGGATGACAGCAACCTGAGGTTGTTACTTGACAGAGATCTCCCATGGAGACCAGCATTCTGGAAGACTGCCAGCAGGGAGAAAGTTTCCAGCCCAGGTCCAATCAAAGCCATGGCATGTTTGGTGACAAGTCATCTAGTTCTGATGGGCAGCCAAGAGCAGTGGCAGTTGCCTGTATTGTTTCGGGGGCTTCAGACACCTCCCTGACAAAGCACTCATTGGAAGGGAGCCTACCTCTGACATTAGGACTTTCACTTAATAATCTATCTTCTGGGGATGGTTTTATCTACCCTTGAGGGGAACCTCTGTTCACAGTCTTATTGATTAACTTATTTTTTAATTAATTTGTAAAGCTATCAGATTTCCTTATAGCTTTTTTATACATCCTCAGTTGGGATGTCCCTCCTCTGCCTATCCCCTTTTCAGTTTAAACATTATTATTCATGTGACACCAAGTTTCTTTCCACCTAATGCATTTTAGACACCGGTACTTCATTTTCTCCTGGTTCTCAATGTCTTCTGCTAGTCTTGTATTTGGGTAAGAGAAGATGAAACTGACATGTTCAATAGAAACAGGGAAAATCAGGACATAAATAAGTGAAATAAAATTACTGGACATCTCAGAGATTGTGGTCAGTGAAACAGCTGCCCACAGGATCCCTTCACTGGAGACATTTATGATGCACAATGAAAATGAAGCATTGATCTCCCAGTGCAAACCGGGGCAGTTCTTTAAAATGCTCAGGACAAATTGCTGACTGTCTTAGTAATGCACAGACTTTTAAGGATAAACTGAAAGGTATTCAATGTATCCATACAGTTGTTACTATAAATTTGGTGGATTAATCTACATGGTCACCCACAGTGGAAAAATACAAGCTAATGATTTTCCTCTGAGGATATCTGAGAAATAGTGCAGAGCTCAGAAGGATGATGGACATGTTCATTACTACAAGACAAAGTGAGAAAACTGAGATGTCTTTTTAATAATAGCATGTTCCAGAACAACACTTGTACAGGCAATACAAAATAAACAACTTCAGACATTCGCATTACCGTCAAATGACAGTTTCCTGATTACTCACATCAGTGTCGGGCCCCTTGTCTGCACCCGGACAAGAGAAAGTGACAAACTCATGGCACCTCTTGTGAACCACAAAACAGCAAACTGAGGAGAGAAAAGAAAACGGAAGTTAGAAGGGTCTAGATTTAATATCCTGAACAGTGAGGAGTCATTTTAGCTTCAGTATAGACAGAATCTCACAGCAACACAAAGGCATTTCATCCAAAAATCAACAATATTTTATTTCAATTAAGCTTGGAGATTATACCACAAAATGCTAAGGAAACTAATCAATGCCCCCTCAACTCTAAAGCTGAGGGATAGGAGATCCTAAGCTTATGAGATACTTTCTCAAGGTAAAACCTAGAATTATAAATTTAACATATTTTGAACTATCCTATAACTCTACACACATACCAAGACACATGCATACACATGTATACATGTACATGTGAATAGAAATATTATACTCTGTAGATTAAATAAAAATAACTATAAAAGTAATAACTGATGATAAACAACACAGAAGTATCCCAAGTATGAGTTAGAAGATCCAGGCTCAAATTCCCAGTACCCATGTGTCAGCTCACAAACGATTTGTGACTTCAATTCTAAAGGATCCCACACTCTTTTAGCCTCATGGGTATTACACACATGTGGCACACAGATATACATGCAGGCAAAACACTGATATACATAAAATAAAATATTTTTTTAAAAAAAGGTATTAACTCAATCTATAGAAAGCACCCCTTAGAAAAAGGTTGGGATGCAATCGAACATTTTCTTGTGACTGTCTGTGACAGATGCTGTCCCCAAGGCAGAAGAGCCTTTGTAAATCCAGCAAAATTATTGAGAGACATTTCTAAGCCCAGTAATGATTTCATAACTAACCCTGAAGAGGAATCAATAAGATAATGTGTTATTAATGAATAAATAATCCCTAAGAGGTCTTTGTGGGTGGTATAATGTGGAGGATACAAAAGCGATCTCTTTAGCCTTTTCTTCAGAGCTTGGAGTGGAGCTCACCAAGCACCCTTTACTGTGATACTACTTCAAACAACAAAACAAAAGCACTAAAGAAACAATATGCTGCCTAAAGTACCGGGGAAGTCACAAGGTTTTACTACATCATATGGTTTACATGCACGCACACATCAAATCTGGCTGCAATTCTAGTGGCCCATGGAGAAGGGACCCTGGAAGGTGATTGGGAAATGAAAATTTGTCCCTTAATGGTAGGTCTTATGCCTTTAGAAAAGGACAGGTTCCAGGCTAGATGAAATGGCTCAGAAGGTAAAGGAGCTTGCCTCAAAACCTGATGGGCTCAGTTAGGCCCAGGAGACCCATCTGGCAGAAGAACTCAAATGACCCCAGCAGGCTGTCCTCTTACTTCCAGATGCATACTGTGGTTCGAGCATGCATGCCCACACACATGCATACATACACAAGACATAAGGAAACACAGTAAGAAGGGCAAGGTCATGCCTCCCTTTCACCCTCCCTCAGGTGGATCATTGTTTTTCTTCCCTCTAAAGGAAATAGCCAAAAGGTGCTTGCCAGCCCAGCACCAAGACTTTGGGTTTTCAGTATCCGGAACTGTGAGAAAATAAATGTGTTATTTATAAACTCTCCAGCCTGTGGTGTTTTGTTACAGCAGCAGAAAGGAACTGATATACAGTGCAAGGAAGGTTAGAGCTTCCTGATTCTTGGCTCATGCACTATTTTCTTCTTGCACAATGACAACACAACCGCCTGCATTTGTGTTAGTAGTTGAAGGGTGAGTCATTTCGGTGGGTGAAACAGGATTGCAGGTTTGCTGGAAGCTGGAATCCCAGGAGAATGCATGCAGGCGCTGAGCCAAGTACTAAGCATTCTTAAACGGTCAGGAGTGGCCAGGAAGAAATTCAGAATCCTTTTGCTGGGCCTTAGAAAGCGCAGAAAGGTCTCAAAGAAAGAGAAACATGTATGACAGCAATGCTTCAGAGGCACGAGCACGGAAGAGTGCAATGTAACAGTTGAGAGCCAAAGCCTAGCTGGGAGCCGCTTACCCAGCTGAGGTCTGAAAGCAGCTGCCCATCATTATTTAGACTGCTAAGACAATGCAGCAGAGTGACCGAACCTTCGAACTGACCACAGAATGCCATTTACCAGGTGCCCTGCTGTGAGTGGGCATCTTGTTCCAGCCCCTCATGAGTATTATCATGGTGAAGCTTCATATCAACACTACATAATATGCTTCAATATCCACAGTTTTAGATGGAAAAACACTGTTCGGGTATCTAGTCACCTTTAAGCACACGTTGAGTATTTATGAATGAGAGCGAAAATGGAGGCAGGGAAAACCCTCAGGGAGATAGATGGAAAGACCAACAGACAAAGGAGGTTCTTGTCTAAGGTCATCCACCTACAAAGTGGAGCCAGGGTTCATACTAGGTTTGCCTGGTTCCACAGCCTGCTTCACTTTCAATACCAAGCCCACTGTTGGCAGACAGGGCAGTGGGACGAGAGAAGTAGACGCAGTCGCTGCTGCCACCTGCTGCAGCCTGGAGGGTTGTTTGAGAGACCTCAGCTCAGGAGAAGTCAGGATTCTTGACTCTGGCGCAGGAAGGAATTTTAGGATGAACCAGTGTGAAGCCAGGTTGGTGTTGGCTGAGATTTTTACATGGATTTAACCTCAGGGAGTTGAGAAAGAGGCATTCATGGGAAGGTTGAGAGACCTGTGCATGGTGTGGGCTTCTCCGGAGAAAGCACGTGCATGTCTTTATAACAGCCTTCTATATGACTTTGGTGGCTTCTGAAGTCACGTCTCAGACTGTTGCTAAGGGACATTTTCTTTTTGGTAGGAGGGTGATGCCTGGGCACTAGATAGGATTACAGCCGAAACTGAAATATCCAATGTCACGAGGTTGCAGAGGTCACAGGGATTGCACAGATTGCTTCTTATTCTAAAGAAAACTGTCTAGTCTTGTTTGTGAGACTCTCCAAAAATTTCAGGTTTATATCTGGGAAAAGAGTAAGGTCATATATGCTTAGGCCTTAAGCAAGCTTCATTGCTATTTTAATGTCCTTATTTAAAATATCTTAATACAAAAGGAGTATTATTGTCTCTATGTAGGCAAGATCTATGGCAATTTTTTTTTTTTTTTTTAAATTGTGCTGGGTTTCTTGACTCTTGGCTGGCAAGAGACTTCAACAAGACTCTAGCCAGGGCCTTTTTCCCCTTTCCATTTCCCCTTCATTTTCTCTGCCTTTCTCTTTTGCCTCATCAGGATTTTGGAAAGAAAAAGGATATTAGAGCTGGTGTCACTATGGCTTATACAGGTTATGGGTACAAAGAATACATGACAAAAATATGTTTTGCATATTCACATAAATACTCATGTATCTGCAGAAATACAGAGGTTGGAGATATAGGTATGCCATACTTAGTAAATAATAAGGATAATGAACTGTTTTCTTTATGAATTTCTTTGGTCATAATACAATGCACTATAAAAATGTACATAAAGACCAACCAACCAAGCAACCAACCAACGAAAAACAACTGAAAAAGCAAGCTTGACATTGACCAAAAGTAGAGCTGACTGTGAGTGTGAATCATCCTCAAGGTTAACAACTGGAGCACTCTTGCAGTGAACAGCCCTTCAGAGCTGAGACGGCTGTGGTGGAAAGGGTCCTCTTGGGTTGCAGTATGCTATCTGCCACACGCAGCATGCATGCCTTCACTGCATGGTCCTGCAGGAGGAGGGGGTGTGTAGCTGACCGTGCAGGCAGTGCTGAGGCAGCAAAGGGCGATGCTGAGCGCCTCCAAGCCTTGAGTCAAGTGTCCCTTCCACATTGCTTCTGCCAAAGGCATCTTCACTGGAAAGTCTCCAGAGATGGGGAGTAAAGCAGCAATGGGGAGACCCCCATTAATATGCTCACCCCCTGACTCCTGGTACAAAGGCACATTTTATTTACTGAAATTATTGGCATGATCACTTACTAAAGGAAAAGAATGACAGGGCATTACCCCTCGTCATAATTTATTATGAAGACGATGTTTTGGGAGTATCAAGCATTTTGATTTCCTACTTAATTGTTGCAACATTTGAGTCTTCCACTTCCTTTTTAACCTTCTCCATATCTGGATGAACATTATTAACACATAAATATCCAGCCCCTTTGGAAGAACACTGCATCTTTTCTGTCATCTCTGTCTATATCATTACACCAATACCAGTGCATTGCCACTAGCTAAAATATTTCTATAATACACTTCAAGAAAATTCTTACTTCAAATAGTTTCCTAAGAATCAAGCTCTTACTGCCCTTTGAAATTTGCAGGGAACAGCAAAATCCTTACTTATTCCTAAATTACTTCCTCCTCCTACCCTGTCTTAGCTGTCCTTGTCCCAAGCTGCTTCAATGTAATCTTCTCATTTCAGTGAATGCCTCCAATAGGAGGCAGATAGAAGGTCCTACGTGTCAAGAGTTACCATGGATGTATGAATTATGTGGAACATAAAGACCCTTAAGCCTGCTTGCACTTTGAACATCCAGTTGGTAGCATGCTTATCTAATATGCACAAGGCCCTAGGTTCAGCCACCATCACCATATATGCTGGGTATGAAGGTACACACTTATAATCCCAGAATATGGGGGAGGGGTATAGAGACAGGCAGATCAGAAGTTCAATATCATCCTTGACTACATAGCGAGTTTGAGGCCAACAAGGAGTTAGAGGAGACTCTGTCTCAAAAACAGAACAAGCAGTGCATATTCTCCTAAACCAGAGCAAACAGCCCATGCCTTAGTAAGAGGGAAGCTCTGGGTCTTCTCACCATCACCTCTAGAGGGGGGTCAAGGAGGAGGACAGAGGGGTTGGGCTGACTGGTCAGACACAGCGTTTATCTGGGAAAAGCTGCCCTAGAAAACATTCATAATGGCCAGACATTCTGAAACTCACAGATGGCTGCTGAGGACCTTTGCTTCCAAGCTACAAACTAAATTGGTAATGCATGTTTTGTAGGACAATGTAGTCTAAGCATCAGAGATGCCATGGGGCTGTTGCAGAGAGAACAGACCAGAGAGGGCCTAATGAGTGCACTGAGCTTATCTG